CTTCCCTCTTAGAACAGCTTTTGCTGCATCCCATAGGTTTTGGAATGTCATGTTAAGCTGATAGTCATACAAGTTTAAAGAAAGAAAGAAGAAAGCAAGTTGCTTCAGTCATGTCTGACTCTGCAATCCTATGGACTATAACCCGCCAGGCTCCTCCGTTCATGGGATTTTCCAGGCAGGTTGCCATTTACTTCTCCAGGGGATCTCACCCAGGGATCGAACTCAAGTCTCCCACATTGTAGGCAGACTCTACCATCTGAGCCACCAGGGAATCCCCATACAAGTTTAAACACAGTCTAAAGGAGCTAAATTTTTATACTCTCCTGCCAGCATTTTATGATTTTGATGTTATATTTTATATCCTCATGCTTATCCTTTTAGCATTAATTATAATTATAATAGGTTTTACAGGATTTTTTGGATGGTTTTTAGTTTATGTACTGGCTTATTTTAGTGATCTTCAGTCCTTTTGTATATTTGCCTTTCCTGTTATGATTTTCCCTGTCCTATAGACACTTGCTTTTTTTCTATCAGAGAAGGCCTTTCAGTATTCCTTTTAGTTTAGACTTAGTGTTGCTGTACTCTTAGTTTTTGCTTGTCTGAGAAATTCTCTCCCTCTCCATCTATTCTAAATGATAATCTTGCGGGGTGGAGTATCCCAGGTTATGGGATTTTCTCTTTCAGGACTTTGGCTGTATCTTGCCACTCCCTTCTGACCTGCACAGTTTCTGCAGAGAAATTAAGCTTATGGAGGTTCCCTTGTAAGTGACTGGTTTTCCCTTCCTGCCTATAGAATTGTCTCTTTGTCTTTAACTTTTGCTGCTTTAATTATAATATGTCTCGATATGGATCTGTTTGTGTTCCTCTTGTTTGGGACCCTTGGTGCTTCCTGTACTTGAATATCTGTTTCCTCCTTTAGATTTCAGGAAGTCTCAGCCATAATTTCTTCAAATACATTTTTGATCCCCTTTCTTCTCTCTTCTCTTTCTGGAGCCCCTTTTATGCATAGGTTGGCACTGTTTATATTATCCCATTAAGTCTCATATGTTGCTTTTTTTTTTTTTTTTGGTCTTCCTGTCTGCCATTCTAGCCCAAATGGTAAAGAATGTGCCTGCAATGCAGGAGACCCGGGTTTGATCCCTGGATCAGAAAGATCTCCTGAAGAAGGGAATGGCAACCCACTCCAGTATTCTTGCCTAGAGAATTCCAGAGACAGACCAGGGGGTCACAAAGAGCTGGATACTACTGAGTGACTGACACACACATGCTTCTGTTCTGACTGGGTAATTTCCATTATTCCACCTCCCAGATCACTTGTTCATTCTTCAGTGGCCCTTAGTCTGCTATTCATTGCTTCTGGATTGGCTTTTATCTTGGCAGCTGAATTAGCTAATTTTAATTGGTTCATCTTCATAGTCTAGTTCCTTGTTACAGTGATTTGCATTTCTAATGATAATCTTTCTTAATTTCTTTAGCATTTTTATAACTTGGAGCTTGGTCACTTGACCCCTTGATAAGTGAAGAGGTGTAATTGGTTTCGTAGTGTTTAGAGGCTGTGCTCGTGTAAGGTAGGGTTTCCTCTTTCTCTGTGGTCGTCATTGCCTAGTTGGGTTCTGTCTGCTCCCCAGTTTTTGGAGTAGAAGTCTTGAGCATTGGGTTGGATAAGGCTCCATTACCCTTGAGTGTATGCCCCTTCCCAAAAGAGGTGATTGCTGAAGCAAGTGTGCTCTTGTGGTTACAGTGCACCTGTGCCTCACTTGTGTAGGCATCCGCAGTTCCTCTCAGAAGCAGCTCAAGGTCACATCACTTTGTCCATTGTGTTTCACCCAGATCTAGTACAGGGCTGTGGTGTGGAGTAGACTGGGGCTGAGGACGTGGACATTGTGGCTGCAGGAATTGAGGTGGCTGTGCGGCTACCTTGTGACCTGGGCTGCCTCTCTGGCACACTTCTCCCTGGACCTGTCTGCCCCTCATCTGGTGCTGAGCTGCAGTGTGGGGTGGACGGAGCCTGAGCGCAGTCACTGGGAAACAGATTGTGGCATATTCTTGACCACGGCCTGCGTACCCAGGGTTTAGCACTTAGCTGCTTCACACATTGTTGTGGCACTGCCTGGTGTGAACACACTAACAGTGGTCTTCGTAGCTCTGCCTGCATCACACCCAGGTATCCTGGTCTGATTCTGTGTAGTTAGATGAAATCTTTGCCCTTATCTGATGCCAGAATGTAGTATGGAGTGAGTGGGGACAGGGTGCTCACCCCTTCGGTTTGGGAAGTGCAGCAAGGCAGCAGCTGCCAGTGCAAGGGTCTCTCCACCCTGTCAACCAACTCATGTGCACCCCTCACAGGTAGAGTCTAGGTTCCTCCAGCCCTTTTCTCTGTCTCAGTGGATTTCCCAGCAGGCAAGGGGGTTTGTCTCCTTGTGCCGGACCCAGGACTGGGATGCTCTGATTGTGAGTCTGTCTGCTCCCTCCCCAGGGTAAGGTTCTGCCCATGCAACCTTCTCTTCCTTACAGATCCCTCTCAGAGGCACAAGTCCTACCTGACTTGGTGCCCTTTTTATCTGTCTTACCAGGTTACATGAAGGTCTTTCTTGCTGCTTTAGTTGTACAGGAGACCTTCTGCCAGTTTGCAGTTAGTTTTCTCTGAGAATTGTGCCACGTGGAGGATTTTTTTAAATGTATTTGTTGGGAGGGGTGAGTACCTCATGGTCCTACTTTGTCATCTTGATCTTCCCCTGAAGTTCAAACTTTTAAGGTTTGTTTGATTTTTATATAAATTAAATGAAAGTGGTCATTATAGAGGACTTCACTTAACATAAGAATTTACCTTGACATTGCTTTTTTTTTTTTTTTTTTTGGCCATGCTGTGTGGTGGCATACAGGATCTTAGTTCCCTGACCAGGGATGCAAACCATGCCCCCTGCATTAGGAGCATAGTCTTAACCACTGGAATGCCAGGAAAGTCCACCTTGACATTTCTTTAAATAATTAGTTCTTTAAATGCAACTACAGCATGATTCAAATTTTAATTTTCCTAAACATTATGTTTTGGAAATACATCCTTTTGTAATATGAAATATGCCTGTGTGAAGAGTTTCTATAATAAAGTCATTCATTTGCAAATGTACATGTATATGACTATCTTGATATATACTTGATTTTTTAAATTTTTACACTGTTTTAGAGTACTTTCAAATATACATTAAAATATTTCTTCTAAATATTCACATATCAGAGATGTTCTGAAATTGAAGATAAGGTTTTTATCTCTTTTTTTTTTTTTTTTAATCATTTTCACCACCTTCCTAAAACAGATCTTCCTTTTTGAAATAACCATTGTTCTCAATTTGGTATGTACCCTTCTAGACTTTTTTCTTTTCATTTGTATACATACCTATACCCATACTCATAGAAAATTTATAGTACTATTTTGCAGACTTCTTCCCCCACATTTTCCTCTTTAAAATTTTGCCTGTCTGTTGGAAGATGGTAACTCACTATTTTAGCTAAGATTTTCTTGATTGCTACAGAAATTGAGAATTGTTTCCTATGCTTGACTATTTATATTCTACCTTATTATGAATTGCCCATTTATAATGATGCTTTGTTAACTTTGTTTATGTTGTTTCTGTTACTTAGAATTATTATGATGTTAAGTTTATTGTTACTTATTTATGGCTCTTTACTTTTATATCTGTTTAAGCTACAAAGACCTTCTCTACACCAAGATCATGAATATAATCTAAATTTCCTCTAAGTCCTTTTACCTACTTGTTTGGATTTTTGTATTTAATTTCTATATGAATTTACAAAATAGTAAGAGGTACAAATCTAATTTTATTTTCTAACTCATAAATAGCTACCTTGTCATTTTTGAGTCATACTGTAAATTAGACAAAATGTTGTCTATTCACACAATGGAATGCTAGATGATTAATAGCTGTTGGATAAATGGATCCAAGTAAAAGTCCTGAGAAACAGCAAGGGAAGGTAATGTTATCCCTTATTTGCATATAGTAAGATTTATGTTCAAAGAGGCTGCATTGGCCAACCAAAATCATATAAAAACAGAGTGGTAGAATAGAACTCAGTTTGTCTGACTCCTAGTCCAATTGTTAAATCTGCTGCTGTTGCTGCTAAGTCGCTTCAGTCGTGTCCGACTCTGTGCAACCCCATAGACGGCAGCCCACCAGGCTCCTCTGTCCCTGGGATTCTCCAGGCAAGAATACTGGAGTGGGTTGCCATTGGTATATCTGCTACCGTTCAAAAAATAGCCAAGAATTAAATCTAAAAACCCACATTTCAGAGGTGAAAGAGCAAAGGAGTCAGTGAGATAAAATGGAGAACCAAGTATGTGGAAAATAGAAAACTAGGAAGTATAGCATCATAAAAAAAAAAAAAAAAGGGAACAGAGCTTAAAGAGGGATGGCTATCAACATCAAATTGATGGTCCATGATTATCCCATAAAAAGATGGCCACTGCATTACCTACTTGGAACAACAAAATTGTACTTTATGCAAATATGTTCCTGGGGTTATATCACATAGTGACCCTGGAATGAGAATTGAAAAGTTGTATCTCAGAGTTCACTAGCAAGCTCTGAGAATATAGTTCCAGTAGGTGGTCAGGAATTAAGGTCAGTGTGTGTCTTTTAATGCATTAGACAAATGTTGCAGCCTCAGTTTGATTAAGTTTAAGAAGGCTTAGCCATAGTTTGCTAAAAAAATCGTAAGAAACAATATCTTTAGAGTAGCAGTGAGAATTTAGCATAAATTAATAGTATATAAGGTCAACAGCTATTTTCTAGCTATTCTGAAAATTATTTTAAAATTTCATTAATCTTTTATTTTTTTAAATGCCATGAAATACAACATTTTATAACAATATCCACAAGTATTCTTAAATTAATGTTATTAGAAAAAATAGACTATGCAAAATAATTATAGGAATTGGGGTTTTTCTTCTTATCACTCATGATTGTATTTGAATCCTTTTTCAGCTGACTCTATTAGTGACCCATTTTTCCCCGGGACTACACAGATACTATTGGAATATCAGCTAGGGAGATGGGTGCCACGTCTTCGTGAACCACGAGATTTATATGGTGTCTCTTCTTCTGGTCCGCTGAGCCCAACACGGTGGCCATACCACTGTGAGGTCATTGATGAAAAAATCGAACATATTGGTATGTTCTTAGCAAGTTTTGGGGATTCAAACATTGGCAGACTTACTGTGCTAAACTTGACTTCAGTAAAAACACTCTTGGTATTAAATAGTATGTTCCAGCAGAAATATAACACAAACCATGTATATAATTTTTAATTTTTCAGTAGTTACATTTAAAAAGATAAAGTGAAATCAACTTCAAAATATATTTTATTTATTCGAAATATATTTAAAATATTTTACATTTTTTAATGTGAAATCTTTGCAATCTAGTCTATATTTATACTTACTTTTCAATTCAATTCCATTTTTTCTACATCCTTGTCAACACTATCTTTTGGCTTTTGGATAATAGCCATTTTCAACTTTAAAAAGTAGTCACAACCTAGAAGGTGAGAGTTATGTTTTATTTGGTGGGAATTTTTTAGGACTTCAAGCTCGGGAGACAGCATCTCTAGTAACCTTGAGACAGCTGTTCCAGGGAGGCAGGGGGAGGAGTCTGGTTATATAGAAGTTTGCAGCAAGGGGCAGGTAGTCTGAACGTCAAAAGATTATTGTTAATTAAGGAAAACTAGATTATCTCAAGAAATTTAGCGCTTTTCTATGTATGGGCTTAATGAAATCATTTTCTTATTGAAATTCTATGTGTGGGCTTATTAAAATCATTTTCATATTGAAATCATTTTCTAACTCTGGGCTTATTGAAATCATTCCTTTCATATGCATCTCAGCTATTTAGGGCCAGCATCCTACAATTTGATTACTCACATCCTTAGTTCCTCGCTGTGACATCCTTGTGTATTGATATGGCAGAAAATACTTCATTTCTCCATACACGTATAAGATGATGTCTCACTGTGGCTTTGATTTACAATTCTCTAAAGATTTTTGATGTTGACAATGCAATCTTTATCAAAATTTTACAATGGTATTTTTTTAATAGAAATAATAAAAACTCTAAATTCAGATGGAACCACAAAAGGCCACAAATAGTCATATCAGTATTGAGAAAGAAGAACAAAGCTGGAGACATCACACATTCTGATTTCAAAATATATTACCAAAAAACTACAGTAACCAAAACAGTATGTCACTGGCATAAGGACACAAACATAGGCCTATGGAACAGAATTGTTTAGTCACTAGATCATGTCCAACTCCTTGTGACCCCATGGACTGTAGCCTGTCAGGCTCATCTGTCCATTGGATTTCCCAGGCAAGAATACTGGAGTGGATTGCCATTTCCTTCCTCCAGGGGATCTTCCCCACCTAGGGATCAAACTCGCGTCTCCTGCATTGGCAGGCGGATTCAGACTTCAGAAATAAATCCATGCATATGTGCCAACTGATATTTGACAAAAGTGCCAAGAATCCACAATGGGGGAGAGATAGTCTGTTTAAAAATGTTGAGAAAATTGGATGTCAACATGCAAAGGAATGAAATTGGGACTTTATCTTATAAAAAATCAACTTAAAACAGACTAAAGACAAACTTACGGTCTGAAACTGTAAAACAGCTAGAAAAAAACAAGGGGGAAGCTTCATGACATTGTTCTTGGCAGTGATATCATGGGTATGACAGGAAAAACACAGGCAACAAAAATAAAAAAAGACAAATGGAAATATACATCAAACCAAAAAGCTTATGCACACAAAGGAAATAATCAAAATAGTGAAAAGGCAGCTTGTGGAATGAGGAAAAACATTTGCAAAACATATTTGATAAGGGTTAATCCCTTGTGGCTCAACTGGTAAAGAATCTGCCTGCAATGCGGGAGACCTGGATTCAATTCCTGGGTTGAGAAGGAGGCTACCCACTCCAGTATTCTGGCCTGGAGAATTCCATGCAAAGATTCGGACACAACTGAGTGACTTTCACATCACAAAATCTCTAAAATATAAAAGAATTTCTGTAGCTCAATAAGAGAAAAACTAATAACCAGAATAAAGGATGGGCTAAGAATTTAAATAGACAAACAAATGAACAATAAGTATATTTACTGACTTTTTATGTGAACTGTTTGATAAAAATACTTTGCCCATTTTGTTATTGGTTGTACTTTTCCTTTTCTTCTTGGTCTGTAAATGCTGCCTACATATTCAGGAGGTTGGCTTGCTCCTGCTTATGCTAAGTCATTTCAGTCATGTCCGACTGACTCTGTGCGACCCCATAAACGGCAGCCCGCCAGGCTCCTACGTCCAGGCAAGAATACTAGAGTGGGTTGGCTTACTATGTCATAGACCTGGCATTCTTTTCTTCTTAGTTTGTCACTTTATCATTCAGAAATTTTTAATTTTTATATAATCAATATGTCTACTGTTTTTCTATGACTTCTGGGTTTTGAAATTCTCGTGTTTCTCTTAACACTTTTTTTGGTTGTTTTTTCACAGAGTGCCAGGCTAGGCTCCCTGTGTTATACAGCAACTTCTTACCAACTGTCTGGGAAAGATTGAAGGCAGGAGGAGAACGGGATGACAGAGGATGAGATGGTTGGATGGCATCACTGACTCAGTGCACATGAGTTTGAATAAGGTCTAGGAGTTGGTGATGGACAGGGAAGCCTGACTTGCTGCAATCCATGGGGTCACAAAGAGTCAGACACAACTGAGCAACTGAACTGAACTGAACTGAATGGCTAGTATATTGGAAAAGCAATTCAGATTAATAGTCCATAGGATCTGGTTGTTATGGTTCCTGAGGTAATGGTTTTAAGATGATGATAATATGATGGGATTTATTAGTACAGGAAGGGTATAAACCAACATTTTAGGGGTGGGCTTAATGGCTCATTTAGCTGACTTTCCTACAGAATATGGTATTATATGGTAGCAGAAAGAATTTTGAATTCTTAAGGGTAGGTTCAATTCCTATGATTCTAAAAGTAAGAGAATTTAAACCTCTGTTTACTCTATCAAAGTGACTTTTATCGGACATATTTCTTATGTTTATGGAGGGATGCTTGGTACTGTAGAAGCCTGATATTATAATGGGTAATGAGACGTGTCATATGCTTTGGACTAGCGTTAGATGACATCACAAACTCAATGGACATGAGTTAAGAGCAAATTCTGGGAGATATTGAAGGACAAGGAAGCCTGTTGTGCTGCAGTTCACGGGTTTGCAAAGAATTGGACACAACTTAGCAACTGAACAACAGAAGCAAGTATTAGTAGTATGAATTTTTTCTTCCAAATTCATAGGAAAAGATTGTTAGTGATAGTTTTGATTGTTTTGATAATGAAGTTGGTTGTGTGTAGATCTGGTATATAGGGCTATGGAGTGCTCCTAGCAAGAGGATTATTGTGAAAATGTTTATTCTGATAATGTCTGCTTAAGAAAAATACAACAAATGGACCTGCTCCATATTCTACATTGAAACCTGATACAAGTTCAGAGTTTTCTGTTAAGTCAAGAAAGGCTCAGTTAGTTTCTGCTAGAGTAGAAATAAATCATATAGCTAGGGTTCATGATGGGAAGATTATTTGTAAATGTTCTTGTAATGAGGGTTTTAAGGATGAAAGATCTATTTATTAAGAGAACCTATAAAAGAATAATTACTAGTGTTACTTCATATGAAATTGTGCTGCTGCTCATCAGGCTCCAATTAGTAAGTATTTTGAGTTGGAATCCCATCCAGCTCATAAGGTGGAATTTACAGCTAGGCTTGATATAACTATAAATAATACTCCTAGACTTATATTAATGAGGGGGTAGGGTATAGCTAGGGGGATTCACATGATTAGGGTTAGAGTTAGGGCTCGGATTGGTACAGATGATGAATATGGAAATGGAGGGTGCAGCTGGTCATAGTGGTTCCTTAATGAATAAAATGACTGTTCAGCAGTGGGTTGTAATAGACCATATGGTCCTGTGATATTTGACCCTTTTCAGTTGCATATAACCTAAAATTTTTCATTCAATTAATGTTAGGAATACTATGACTGAAAGAAGAGGATAATAACAAGTGTTAAGATATTAATTATAAACATTTTGTTAGGGAGAAGATTTGAATCTCTGGCTATAAAGGTTTAAGTTTTATGCAATTTCTGGGTTTTGCCATCTTAACAAACCCTGGTCTTGGGTAGATGTTTTCTATCTGTTGAGACTGTATCATTAACCAGTTTTAACATAGTTTTTAAAGTGGAGCTTATTTCTCTTGTTCTTTCATACTGGAAGAAGTATATAATAGATAGAAACCAACCTGGATTACTTCAGTCTGAACTCAGAGATGACAGAGGATGAGATGGTTGGATGGCATCACTGACTCAGTGGACATGAGTTTGAGCAAACTATGGGAGTTGGTGATGGACAGGGAAGCCTGGCGTGCTGCACTCCATGGGGTTGCAAAGTCGGACACGACTGAGCAACTGAACTAAACTCAGATCATGTAGGATTTTAGTTGTTGAACAAATGAACCTTTAATGGTGGTTACACCATTGGGGTGTCCTGATCCAACATCAAGGTTGTGAACCCTAGTATTGTTTATACTAGTTATATCAGTCCTGGCTGTAAACATCAAGGTCGATATGAACTCTGGAATAGGATTATGCTGTTATCCCTACGCTAACTTGTTCTGATGGTCAGTTTTTTGCATCAGTAAGTGATAATGTGTTTTGATTGGTAAGTCTAGACTTTAAACCCTCAGAGGCTATTTTGTTCTCCAGGGTCACCCCAACCAAAATTGTCCACCCATATAAATTTTTGTTATCTCTTGGTGGTTTAGTTATTTAGACTAAGTTGTAGTTGATAAAGCTCCATAAGACCTTCTCATCTTGTTTTGTTATTCCTGTTTCTTCACAGTAAGGTCAGTTTCACTGATTGAAACTAAGAGACAGTAAAACCCTCCTGTGGCCATTCATACAAGTCCTTATTTAGAGAACAAATGATTATGCTACCTTGGCCTGGTCAGGATGTTAATGGTTGTCACTAGGCAGGCAGTGCCTCTAATACTGGTTATGCTAGAGGTGATGTTTAGTCAACAGGCAGGGTTTGTGTTTGCCAAGTTCCTTTTACTTTTT